CATTAATTAGGTGCATGTAGCATCATCGATTTAAGTTTTTTTTTAAATAATTTTAAAACAAGATTTATAGTATTTACTTATTTTCATATTGAAATCATTTTATATAAAAAAAAGAACTAATAGGGTTATGAGAATATGAACATGACCAAATGGGCATAAGTTAGGCTTGTGAGATTTATGAAAAAATATCCTAAATAATTTGATTATTTAATAGTGGAAAATAAAATAATAAATAATTTTCTCACATTTTGTAAAAAAAAAGGTGTAAATTGAAAGTCCACTTGGGGGTGACTTAAGAAATTGGTTAAAAATTAATTTTTAGTTTTTTTTTTTTTTTGTTCATTTATGTGTAAAAAATGTGAAAAATATATAATTAAAAATATGTTAAAGTTAAAAAAATTATGAAGTGATTATTGATCAAAAAATTGATAGACTATTAAACTGATCCTTGGGGGGTGGTTTATTTGATATAAAAATTCAAAAAGAACTGAATATAATTATAATAAATTGCTGGGAGTGATTGTATTTTTACAAACTTGCGGGAGGTCATTGAGATTTACACTATTAATTCTATATATATAGGCAGCACTAAGGTTAGGGTTTTGGTATGGTATTCTCAATTCTCACTTTGGCATTCACGCAGCTAGGTTCAGAAAAACAACATTCATTATTATTGCGTTTCTTTCTCCTCTCCCCTCTCTTAACAGCGAATAGTCAGTCAGGTTCATCTCATCATCAATTCTTTTGTTGTTTCTGTAAAAATTTCTGTGATTTTTTTATTTTACTGTAAGGTTCTGTATAAAAAAAAGAAAGAAAGAAAGAAAGAAAAAGCTGCATTGTACCAAGGGAAGCGTTTGAATGAGAGTACCCTTGATCTTGAATTGGCCAAAGTGGTGGTAGCTATATAGATCTATGTATCATAGAAGAGAATTTTACTGGCCGGTTGTTGTTTATTTCCGTCAACATATCTGCTTACGAGCTTCTCACATCTTTTTTTACTCTCTCTCTATGTAGTTATTTGTAGTATAATGAGAAGGGGAGTAGAAGATGGATTAGTCTTTTCCAGAAACCCTTTTCTCTAAAAATTAAAACTTTTTCTCTCCATATAAGGAGAAGGAGGTCACCTTACCAGGCATTCTGGTCTTTGAATATTTTAATTTATATATTGTGTTTAAATATTTTATTTTATTTGTAAATATTTTAATTTTTTATTTTAATATGTTTAAACTCAAATACATTTCAACGCTATCGTAATCAAACACATAACCAAAATTCAATAAAAAAATTATTTTCAGAAATTCTCATAAACCAAAATACATAACTCGAAATTCTACTATTACTTTTTCCAAAAACTCTACATTCAACGACTAAACACATACAAAAAAAAAATTTTTAAAATTTTAAAAAATATTTAAAAAATAAAATAAAATATTTATAATAAAAATTATATATTTAAAATAAAAAAATAAATTTTTTAATATTAAAAAAATATATTTAAAATATTAAAAAAATACAACACATAAATATTTATTTATTTATTTATTTATTTATTTATTTTAATGTACATTATATTTCATACATTTATGTGTTATATTTTTTTATTATAAATATTAGTTAACCAAACAAATGTTTTACATTTTTTTGACAAAAAAAAAATTACATAATAAATATATAAAGTATAGAGTAAGTGGAAGGGGAGGGGGGAAATTGAATTGAATTTGAAAAAAGCAAGTGTTTGGAGATGTGGGGGGATTGAACCCCGTATCTCTCCTATGAAAATGAGTGTATTACTATTTGAGCTACCTCTCTGTTTGTCTTATATTTTGATTATAAAACAATTTTATATAAAAGCGTCCGTGTTTGTGAACAACGTTTTTTGGAAAAAAAAATTTATTTAAAACGCTTTCTGTATAAATTAAATTTCTTTAAAAATGTGATTTGTAACTACGCTTTCTTAATAAAAAGCGTGGTTTGTAATCACACTTTTACTATTTTACAAATTTTTTGCGGTTGTTCTACAAAAACGGTTTCTAACCACGTTTTAGCATAGTTTGGGAATTCCGTCCAAAGTAGACCTAGTTTGGGAAATAGGTTGTTATTTTGCCTTAATTTGGGAAAAGCCCCCGGAGGTTAACTTTCAGGCATTCTGCTCTTTTATTTCCCAGCATTTTGCGTCTTTCGGTGTTAACATCTATATCTATACTATATATTAAGTAAAATGGAAGGTTTTAACCTTAAGGCCTGTGGGAGTTTTAATATTCTTATCTGAATTTTTTAAATTTTTTATTTTTTATTTTTTATCTAAAAAAAAATCTCAGCATTTATTGATTTGGTCAAAATTTTCTGATCAGCATTTATTAACTTTTTTTTAATCCACATGCCTTTTCACATGCCTGCATTTATTGATTTGGTCAAAATCTTCTGATCAGCATTTAAAATCTCCTCATACAAATAATTATAGATACAACTGCAATATCTTTTTTAACTTCTCCTATATGCTATGGTTAGTAATAAGATTGATAAATTATTTTTATAGAAAATCTTTAAAAATATAATTTATTTATTAAAAAAAATCTAAAACAAATATAAATATCTATAATTATCCCGTGCGTAACACGGGTGATAGGTTAGTACTATATATTAAACAAAAAGGGGTTTTAACCCCAAGTCTTGTGGGAGTTCCAATCTCCCAATCTAAATTTTCTGATTTTTTGATTTAAAAAAAAAAAAAAAAGTCTTGTTTATTGAGGCATTCATCCTCACTGCACCACCCTTGGAGTTTAGAAAAAACAGTAGTTCCTATTATTTTGGCATAATTACATTGACTTCCCTTCATATTTTAATTCACATATTATTTCGCTTCATTTTCGTTAATAATTTATTACTCATATAGATAGAAAAATAATCACCTTGTTTGGTTGAATCATCTTTTCTAAAATTTGAGTTTTTTTATTTTCTGTGTTTTTTTTTTTACTAATTTTTTTAATATTTTAAGTAATTTTTTTTATTTTTAAATACATCTAATATAAATATATTTAAAAAGTATAATATTTGTGAAAATAATTTTTTAAAAATTTACTAAATACTAAAAATATAACAAAAAAATAAGAGAATTTAGTACATTTTTCATATTTTTGTATATTTATTAATTTTTTAAAATAATTTTTTATAAATATTTTAATTTTTAAATACATCTAAGTAATGTGCATTTAAAAAAGTAAAAGAATTGTTTAAAATTTTAAAAATATTCACTAAAAATATAAAAAAAAATCAAAAAATTAAAAATTAAATTTTCACAAAATTGAAACTATAAATGCACTGATTCTGTCTTTCAGGAACTATTTCAAATTTTTTTTTATTAAAATTTCATAATTTTTTTTTTTAATTTCACCTCTATTTCATTTTTTTTTTTTAGTTTTTAAAAATATTTTGATATCTGCTCAAATCAAGTTTTATTTTCTCATTGTTGACAAAAAATTTTGCAACTTTTTTTCAAATTCAACGAAGCCCATTTGGAAAGTGATTTTTTTAGTTTTTTTTTTTTTTGGAACCAAAATTAGTGGTAAAAAAAAAATTTGAAAAGAGTTTTCAAAATTTGACAATTTGTTTGATTTTATATTTTGAAAATAGTTTTGTAATTGGAGTTTTGTAGTTTGAGATGATTTGTAGTTTTTTGTAGTTGAATAAATGGATATGAGAGAAAAAAAATAATTAATTGATGTGTAAGATGTGAGAGAATGAGAGAATGGAACAAAATTATTGATTGATGTGTAAAATATGAGAGAATGAAAGATGAGATTAAAAAAAAAAAAATTGATTGAAAACTAGTTTGGTTTAGTTTTTAAAACGAGTTTTGAGTTATATTTTAAAATGTAAATTGTTGAAAAAAGTTTTGAAAGTTGATAATTTGTTTAGTTATTAGTTTTGAAAATAATTTTAAAATGATTTATAGGATTTTTTTTAGTTGAATAGATAGTTGTGCAAAAAATTTAATTGATTGATATATAAAATATTAGAGAATGAAAGAAGAGAGAGCAGAAAGAAGAGGGAAAAGTAATTGATTAATTTATTAATAATAAAATAAAAAGAGAGGAGAGAGGAGAGAGAAAATTGAGTTTTGAGTTGTATTTTAAAAATTTGTTAACGAAACAAAACTTTTTTATTTTTTGGTGAATTACACTAATAGTCCCTATAGTTTGGGACTTGTGTCATTTTGGTCCCTAACTTTTCAATTGTGACACATTTGACCCTGAATTTTGAATCTTGTTTCAAATAAGGACAATTAAAAATATCATTAGATTTTTCAAGGATAAAATCGTCAATTTGATAAAATATAAACTAATTTGACAAAAATAAATGTCAAACAAATATTTTTGAATTTTTAAAAATTATTTCTACCTACTAAAAATAAAATTATGTAAAATTGATAAATCTTTTAGACATTTATTTATTTATTTTTACCAAATTAATTTTTATTATGTGTTTAGACGATGATCATGTAAAATTAATTTTTAAAAATTAATCATGTAATTTTTATCAATTTTACATAATTTTATCATTAGTGGATAAAAATAATTTTAAAAAAATTAAAATATTTTTTTGACATTTGTTTTTGTCAAATTAGTTTATATATTATTAAATTGATGATTTTTTCCTTAAAATTAAACAATAGTATCTTCAATTATCTTTATTTTTAATCTAAATCATGTTTTAAAAACTAAACCAAATTTATGTGTTTTGAGTTCTCAAAAAATAATTTGAAAATTATACCAAAGACAACAAATATGTTTGGAAGGATAATTTGACATTTAAAAAAAAATGCAAAAAAGTAAAATGAATAATAAGGAATTTTTTACCTTTTTTCTATGAATTGAAAATATGTAAACTTCTTATTTTTTGGTTTTTTTTTTTGTTCACAATTGTTGGGGGCATTTGTTAAGAAGTCTCTAGATGGTGTCAATGTATATTATTTATGAAAAAATTAGTTCAATTCAGTAATTGCAATTTTTATATTTTATCGCTTTTGTTTTTGAAACAATAGATAATAAAATATATTTTTGAAATAGACCATTTATTTCAAAAATAGATGATATACGAATGGACTTAAATTTTTTCCATAAATGATATATATTGGTGTTCATACAAAATAAATGATTTTGATTATCGAAACGAGACACGTAATAGGCTCCACAACTCTCAAGTTTTCCAATGTTGAGATTTCAACATTAGCGAAGTTCAACCCTATTAAAAATGTATTAACGTCTTTACTATTATAGAAATTGAAAAGGCAATAAATGTATTGTACTAAAGAACTCAAAATATTTTTCTTATAAAACTTTCATTTATTAAGGACACATAGAAAGTTTGTCTTGAAAAGGTTAACACACTATTATTACTAAAATATTTTTAATAACTAATTTTATATTTTAAATTTTAAAATAATGTTTTTTTAATAACTAATATGTGCTGGTTTTTAATAAAATTGATATTTTTAGAATTTTTTCATAATGATTTATTAAATAAGATCTATATTGGCCATAATTGTTTTTACTGTTTCATCTAAAAAATTATTTTAGCTAAAAAATCATTATAAGTTGATACATCACTTTTTTGCACATCTTTTCAAAAAAAAAAAAAGTTATTAAAATATTTTGTTCCCAAACGAGCCGAAATGCACATCTCTTGTACCGCTCAATTGCAAATTTTGATCCAAACAATTATCGAAATATAGTAAATATAGTTCAAAATATAGCAATTATTCAAGTTGTATGACTCGATTATGGAACCATCTCTTATAATTTTGTAAGAATTTTTAACTTGGAATATTGAAAATAATATATATATATATATATAGATTTAAGTAAAAATGTACATGGAGAGAGATAGAGAGAGAGAGAGAGATGTTATCACGTTGATGGCTAAAATAGGAAGAGAAAAGTAATAAAAGATAAAGACAAAATTGTTTAAAATTAATATGCATAAGTTTTTTAT